TGTCTGTCACGCGACTCTGTTCCCCTTTCGGGCTCTGTCTTTACATTTATTTTTGAAAGATGAAGCTCGCGATTATGGTAAGGGGCGTTACATTTCCGACACGTGCTTGTGGTTTTCGGCCAATCACAATGCACTGGGTCAGCTGGCCAATCAGAGCAGACTGCGCTTGTCAAAGGAGGGGGCTTTGTTGAAAACGACGTGTTTGAGAGAGGCGGGGCATAGAGGACCTACAATAATGTACAGTATTTGAAAAATAATGTGTTTTTTTGAACATTAAAGCATGTCAACATTCTGTTACACCAAATACACAAAATAATGATCTTTAAAAAAAGCATCATATGACCCCTTTAAAGGCTGAAATGTGATGATTTGATTTTTTAAATCCTGCAGATACCAGGTTATTTTATGGTACCATTTGGAATAACAATTTTTTTTAATAAGCCCTTTTTAACGGTCCTCTTAGGTTGTTTTGAGAATGTTCTGTAGGCCACTAATAAAAAAAGGACCTCTGTACATTTGTTTGCTGGAAATTTACAGACAATGCAATTGAGATGTTGGCTTGTTGGGGTAATATTTCTGTCCACTGACAACAAAGGTGTCCTTCTGAATTAGCATAACTACACAAGTTTTATAGTATTATTCATATTCATAATTACATCAGTTATACTTTAATTTCCTTCAATAAAAAGGAAATCAAGTAAAACAGTGTAAAACGTGTGTGGACGTGGATTAGTAATCTGGCCCCTTGGTATAAAGAAGAAAAAATGCTGGCCCTCGTCACTATCAAAGTTGCCCATCCCTGATATAATTGGATTGGCAATGCTTTATGGGATTGTAGTTCTAATCAAATCTTTAAAAACAAATTACATCAGTTATACTTTAATTTCCTTCAATAAAAAGGAAATCAAGTAAAACAGTGTAAAACGTGTGTGGACGTGGATTAGTAATCTGGCCCCTTGGTATAAAGAAGAAAAAATGCTGGCCCTCGTCACTATCAAAGTTGCCCATCCCTGATATAATTGGATTGGCAATGCTTTATGGGATTGTAGTTCTTTCCCTTATTAAAGCTGTTAAATACACAGTCTTGTATCACTGTCTTTCTGGATGGTTTTCAAATACTGTTTTGCTTCAAATCAAAGTGTATAATATTGTGATTCACTGCATAGCTTGTTGGTTTGGTTTGTGACTTATAACTCTATAACAAAGGCTATTTTAAAATCACTATGGTAAAAAAATAAATGGGAAAAACACTTCCAGAACTAAGGCTGCTGAAAAAAGTGGGTGGCCACTGTGGCAATCTTATCGATATTTATACACACCCTAATCCAGGTATCCTCTCGCACTGGCCTGCCATACCCCCGATCAGGTTACTGTGAATGATCATCACCCCTTTAGGTCTACCGGTGGAGCCGCTGGTGTACATAATAACTGCGAGGTCTGACGAGATGGGCTTCACTATGGGTCGGCTCACTGCAACACAAAGCGCACATTGTTTTCTCCTCTAGTGATAGAGATTAATCTATTACAGTGCAAATCTCTATTCAAATCAATATTGTATGGGTGAACTGTGGGTAAACTACAGCCAATCACTGAAAAGGTCAATTAGCGTATAAATAAAATGTCAACCGTAAAGTTGGTGCCCTTTCTTACAGTTTTCTGGCTTGGCTCCCAGCTCTTGCACAGAGTGCATGCTGTGGATCTGGATACCCTGTGGATATCCTGCTGAGCTGATGCTCTTCCTGTCCACATAGATGATGTGCCTCAGACTGGGGATTTGAGGAAGAACGCCCTGTATGGAAATAACAATTGTTATGGAAACAGAACATTTAATGAAAAATATAAATAGTGAACCCAGGTGACACCGGACGTCAAGTTAAATTTTGGTTTGAAAAAAGAAAAATTGGATTGACATCCAAACCCAACATCAGACAGACGTTTGATTTTTGTTACGTCCATGACTTTAAACCAACAAAATATCAACGTCTAATGATGTTATAAATGAAAGCTGTGTGGAAGTTAGCATTATGACATCAATATGTTGCTGGCATTAATTTTGGTTACTTAATACCACACCTTAAAACCAACAAAATAACACTAGCCTTCGTCAGATTTTATGTCGTCAAGTTAACATTGGCATTAGAACTTGTCCTGACATTGATATTTGGTTGACTATAAGTGACCAAAATTCAATGTCTTATGATGTTGGTGGCCCGCTGGAAAAATGTTAACAACAGTAAAGGGCCTGGCTTGCTGTTCCTGTTAAACCCTTTTCTAACTGAAGTTATTAACTGAGTCACACATTACTGAATATAAGGCATGCGATTCAGTGAGTCAGAGATTAATTTGGTAACCGTAAATTCTGTGATTCAAACTAATAACTCACGAGTTCCTGAGTCCTATTTTGTAACCGTTTAAAAGCACTGGTCATTTGATTGTTTGTGATATGGACTACACTGTTTTTTGAGTGCAGCTAGCAAATACAATGGAACTGGAAAACATGCTAATTTGGCATTGATTCATGATACCCAGTCATTTTAACCCATTCAACTCGAGTAATATATATTCTTTTGCTGTGAATCTATAGTAACAGTAGTGCAGGAAACACATCACTGTTACATTGCGGTCTTTGGCTCACCTTCAGTTTGGTTTCCAGCAGTTCCACGCTGGTGACCAGGTGTGTAACTCCACACTCATTCAATCCGAAAGCCACTGCCTCTTCTCCTAGAGTTGCATAAAAGGTGACCACTACAAAAACCCACAAGAAACGGAAATGAACAAAAGAAGATAAAGACGAAGACATTCATTCAATCTTGAGATGTCACAGTACATCTGTGTGTCATCACATTAAAGCATTAAGGGATAAAACCTATGATTCATTTGAAATCATTTTTCCCTAGGGGAAGTCTGACATTCTCCGAGTCCGACGTGACTTCACTGTGGCCTCTCGGGTAGGAATGATGTGATTTGTAAGTCAATTTAACCTGATTTACCTTTCTTGTGAACCATAAATACAAGCTATGGTAAAATGTAAATTCGTTTTTAATATGAAAATGTTATTTTAATTTCACATAATAATAAACTATGATATATACATATTTATAAACTAACATTTATAAATGTAATAATATATATATAAATATAATGTTCAAAATAAAATTGAATTCAAAAGGAATATTTACACTACCTTTTAAAAGTTTGGTGTCAGTAAGATTCATTTAGAAAGAAATGACTACAGCATTAAATTGATCAAGCATCACAATAAAGACTTTTACATTACTTTACATTATTACAAAAGACTTCCATTTCAAATAAACAAACAATAATTCTTGAGCAGCAAATCAGTATATTAGAATGATTTCTGGAGGATCATGTGACACTGAAGACTGGAGTAATGATGCTGAAAAAATTCAGCTTTGATCACAGGAATAAATTACATTTTAAAATATAATAAAATAGAAAACAGTTATTTCAAATTGTAATATTTCACTATTTTACCGTTTTACTGTATTTTTATTAAATAAATGCTGCTTTGGTTAGAGTAAAAGACTTCTTTTAAGAAACAAAAATATCTTACGACCCCAAACCTTTAAACAGTTGGGCACATTTATAAATAAAATTTGTTTAAGATGTAACTATTATCATACTTTATGCACACAGGCCAGTTTAGGAGAGTCACTTGTTTAGACCAGCGCATGATATAAGCTAAATTACAATGGAGTTTTTCCCCTCTTCTTAACAAATGGTAATTTTGGCAAAATACACATTGCATCTGAATGTGACCCAAATGTTGGATGACAGTGTAAACAGCAAAATGAATACCGAATCTGACATTTTCAATTAATCTCTATATTTCCAGTCTACAAATATATATACAGTGGGGCAAATAAGTATTTGATACACTGCCGATTTTTCAAGTTTTCCCACTTACAAAGAATGGAGAGATCTGTAATTTTCATCGTAGGTACACCTCAACTGTGAGAGACCGAATCAAAAAAAAAAATAGAAATTCAAAATGCCATCTCGGCTCTAGCACTCGAGACGCAGCTACACGTGTTCAGTCCATCACTGTGGAAATGGCTCGTTATGATCAATGAAACGCTCGACTTCACCCAGATCTCTCTGATTAATGGAACCCGGTACAGCTCTTTTATTCCGCCTAGTCTGATCATTTGAATGTGATGAAGAAGAAGAAGATGATGATGATGAAGGCGCTCTTCGTCAAACGCATCATCATCACAGCCAAGACATGCTTTTCCATCACATTAACTCATCATGTATTAAAACAATATTTACACACTTTAAGCTTCATTCAGACCAAGTAATGACGTGTAATATTCAGATGTGGTGAAACAGCCTGCTGTTAGCCAGCTAGCGTCCCCTTTATCTCTTTCAGCCATCTATGAAGTTGTCGCAGTAAACAAGAAAAAAAAAAGAAAAACAATCCCCTCGTTAAGCATCACTGAGGTGAGAGATTACAGTAATGTAGTCTCTTACCTTCTTCACAGCCGGATCGGGCGCTCGAGTCTCTCGCTGCCGAGCGCAATGACCGGCAGTTACCTCCAGCGCGTGCTGTCACACCCGGAAATATTGCGTCATCTGACTCCATATTTTTCAGCCAATAGTAGTCTAGACAATGAAGCAAAAGCGACTTCCTGTTACTGCCAGTGCACTTCAGGTCACGACAATAATAGTTCTAGTGATAATATTAGCAATAACACACTTAAGACACACATTTCATGTTCTGTAGTATCAGAAACAAATAAATAATAAGCAAATAATGGTAAAAAGCGAATTGTAAAATCCAAATCTAGAATCTAGACTGTGAAGTAGGAGCATGTATTGGGTGTTTCAGGGTAGTAATATAATTCAGGATGTAATATTAATATAATATTCTTGTTCTGTAGTTTAAAAAAATGTACTTATGCAGTACAGCATCAGTAAGACTTATTGGAAATATTCGTGACATGTGACCAAGTATGGTGACCCATACTTGGAATTAGTGCTCTGCATATACAGGTTTGTCCATAGTGCTGATGGGTAGTGCAAATGCTGCATCCTGAAATGGTCCCACCATTGATCCTCTTGTCATCCAGCCAAGGTCACCCTGTATGCAAATCAAAGCTTTAAACTATACAAGCCATCGTTAAGGTTGTCTTGATACTTACAAAAAAAAGTATATAATTTGAACAACAAATTACAGAGTAGTACTAAAACATACGCTGATCAAAATTGTAAAATTAAAGGTATATGCAGTTCTAAAGGTAGGCACCAGCTTTTTCCAGGTGTATTAGTTTTCTACCTCGATGCACAATTCAAATGTTAATACAGTACTGATAAACACTTTTTTTTATTATTATGATAAAGTTAGAAATATCAGAAAACATTAATAAAAGGGACTTTATCTAATCATTGACTCAAAACATACCTCTAAGATATATAAAATATATTTGCATACATTTTGGGCATGATCGCATGATGTTCAAAATGCCATCTCGGCTCTATGATTTGAGACGCAGCTATGCGACCATCACTGTGGAAACGGCTTGTTTTAATAAATTAAACGCGTTCAATTTCACCCAGAGCTCTTTGATTATAGTGACGTGATGAGTATGGTGACCCATACTTGGAATTAGTGCTCTGCATTTAACCCATCGAAAGTGCACACACACCGTGAACACACACCCGGAGCAGTGGGCAGCCATTTATGCTGCGGCGCCCGGGGAGCAGTTGGGGTTCGGTCTCTCGGGGTTTAAGGGCGCCTCAGTCGTGGTATTGAAGGTGGGAGAAAGCGCTGTACATTCACTCCCCCCACCTACAATCCCTGCCGGTACGAGACTCGAACCCGCAACCTTTGGGTTACGAGTCTGACTCTCTAACAATTAGGCCACAACTAATTATACAGAAACGCTGTACATTAGTGTTATAATAATAATAATAATAATAATAATAATAATAATAATAATAATAATAATAATAATAATAATAATAATAATAATAATAATAATAATAATAATAATAATAATAATAATAATAATAATAAT